GTTTCTCAGTCAACAACGAACAGGAAATAGAACTGTTAGAGGTTATTGAATAACGTGTATTCTGCACATTTTTTTAAAAATCCCCGCAATAGTTATTGATTGTCTTATATGTCTAAAATCTCGTCAATATAGTAATACGTAGAATGACAGACATTTCATTTGTTCATTGCTTTAAAAGTAATGTTTTGTTCAGCTAAATCACTGCATTTCTTCCTACCTATATATATATATATATATATTCTATTATTCAGTAGAATAATGCATATAGATGCGAGTATGATACTTAAATACTCTTAATTAATTAAAGTAATATTATTAATTAGTAAAAAGGAAAATTAGATATTTGATCTGTAGAAAGAGTGATTTGAAGAATATAGCTGCTTCAAATTAGTTATTATGTTCACTCACAAAAAAGACGGATGACGAATTAAACAGGAAAGGATTGAGCTGATCCATTATTATTAAGCAGCGAGACAAATAAAGATCGATGTTAAATTGCTTAAATAAAAAATACGGTTTCACCATCTTTTATCACTTTGCATTACCTTTCACAAAACCTTATTTTTTTATTTCTGATAGCAGTGATATAGTTATGGACGACAAAAATGTCATCTCGTTATCCTTCCAGAAGCGTTATAATTTTACGCCATAGTTATTAAGCGCAAAATCCAACAGCATATGATCAGAACAAATACCTGCTATAAAATGCATGCTTTCATTAGAAGCCATTTAATAGTCTAAAATTTGTAATAATATAACCTGAAGCTCTTTCGAGCAAATATGTGTGTAGTTTCTGCCTCAGTGATTGATAACTTTTTATAGAATAAAATTTTAGTAGTATGTTTTCCCTATTTTAAAACCAATTACTTACATTATCTTTGAATAAAAACTAGTTTGTAAGAAAACGTCTTAATGCTGAAGAAATTTCTGTTAAAGCAATTAATGAATCAGAAGAAAAGTTTTTCAATTGCTTTAACCGTCATTATATTAATTATGCTATTAAAGTTTGGCAACAATTTGCTATGCATGAAAAATTTTATGCAATTATAAAATACGCTTTGACAAAATATCTGCTTCTTTCATCTATATATTATTTTATTCTGTAGCGACATTAGGTACTTTTTTGGAAGCAGGCAAGATGAAAAATTAGCAAACGCCTTCCCCGGGAATCAAACCACGGACCTCTGAAATACCGGCTCAGTGTGCTGACCACTACACCACGAAGGCACCCTAAGATGGTGAGAGAAATACTTTATAAGCCTTGTTACTCGTATTTTTAAATATCAGATGACAAAATCATTCAAGAATACTCTATACGATGGGAAATGTTTTCATATGTTTAGCTGATAAGTTGGTATTATTTAAAATAAATTATCTTTTGTACATCAATGCCTTTTACTCTTAAGGACGCATAAATTAAAATATTAACTATTAAGAGTTTAATCATGAAGAAATAGTTTTATTCAATAATGATTTAACTTTTGTAAAGATATCTGATCACGTGCAAATGGCTGTTTTAAAAGACTACATATTTTATGATCAAAAACACCTTTTAGTCTGCCGATATTTTATTTAGAACCAAGTTTATGGATATTTTTGTATTCTTGCATAAAATAGGAGTTCGGAAATTTGTTACAGTACCTTTAAAAGGGATATTCATAAATTTATTAAAGATTTTTTGTTATGATTTATATGAGCTTAGTGTTTTATAAGGTGATGTCCCAATCCATTCATTTCTCAATTCTTATAATAATTTTTCTTTTAACTGAGTCCGAACCAGAAATATAGTTTGAACGTAATTTCGGGCTCAGCCTTCGTTTACCAACCTTTCATAATCGATAATGGTGGGTGTAGTTAAAGAATTTTCCCTCTACGTATTTATTTCAAAATAATCATATAATTTGTATTAGCCTATCGTCACATTTAATTTTTCTGAAGAGGGTCTGCTATATATAATGGTTAGCGATGTTAGTTGCTATATCATTAGATACGGGTTGGCGTTTATAAGTTTAATACTCTCGAGAGGTCCGATGGTAGGAAAGGAGGGGTGGGAGATCTTCTGATTCATACCCCGATATTGAAACTGTGACGAAGCTAAGGTTTTCACGTGATTGTAATCTCGCTTGATACCCGTGGTGCACCTTGAGCAACGTTCTCGGTGATGAGATGACCAAAGGACCGATGAACTCGGCGTTTCTCAACGAATGTTTCTTGAGAATCAAATTTCAGTAAAGATTTTTTTTTCCTGTTCTTCTCTTCTTATGTTCTTACATAATCCTTTACTTGTTACAAAAGGAGCTCTTTTAACAAAGTGATATAATGATCGAATATCATATATTGAAACTCAAACGGACCGAAAAGTTCCAAATTAAGATGATGGGTTCTTTTAAACTAAAATACGTCTATGACATACGAAATGGGTGTGCTGATCTTCCAGTTTAAATGGAAAAAGTCTTAAAATTCAGAACGTTCTATCTACTTTCTTTTATTAATAAACGTGAATAACAGTATAACATGTGACTACTAGAAATCGAAAGGACTTTTAACTCGCCTTAAAATTGGAAGCTTTTGACTTACACAATCTTAGATCTGAAAGTGAACATATTTGTTCACACTGCAATTTGCAACACATTTTAGTGGTATGTGTACATTTTAACAGACCCTCATATGAAGTATGTTGACAGTTTTTATGTGATTTTTCATCGATTAATCGGGGTCAAGATGTTATTTTTAATGTATTTCAATATTTAAAAGGAACAGTCTTTCTTAGTCTTAAATTTGTTTTAGAATAGCTTCGGTTTTAATGTGTTTTGAATGTTTTAATGTATTCTTCACATTCTGAGATTTTTATCTAATTTGATATCTGAATTTATCTTGTGAATGTAATGCATTTTTTCAGCATATTAACAAACAGCTGTTATCAATAAGTAATCTTAGTTTGTTTTATAATTTTATTCCGAATCATTTTTTGATTATAACATTTATTAATTTTCTTCATTTGTTTGTACTATAACAGTGGGTTTTAGTATTTTATTATGTTGCTTAAGAAGAGGGTATAGATCACCATATGTATGGCTTATGACCTTTCAGAGGATACTCTAAATAAATCTACGAACCAGCCAACCAACTGAATAGTATGTACAATTGAGATATGAGGGTTTGCCTCCATTGCTAACTGTGATATTTAAGAAAGGTATAAATTGATTGAATCTTTTCCTTTAAAGCTGAGTTGGGAATAAAAAAGTCAAGGCTGCTCGGTAAACGGACTGAATCGATATTGGGCTGTTTTATAATTCTTTGAGCTGCTAGAAAATGTGTCTCTAATTCTCCAACTGAAAACAGTTTTTTTTTTCAATAATAATTTCGTATTTAGTTTTGCAATAAGCTAAATGTTGTGTTCGTTCTGAAAAAAATTAGATAAAATGCTTAACAATGGATAATCTGTATATATGCATGCATGAATATATATAGTATATTCCTCGCATTATGATTGAATGACAGCATCTAAAGCCACAAAAGTTTGAACACACATAGTCCTCTACTCGAATACATGCACCTAAATTAAATTTTGAATTTTTTTTAACATACTTTGTATTTTGTCTGAATGAAATTTTGATTAACGAACTCAGAGATTTAAAAGCAATCTGTTACCACCCATCAATGTGTTAAGCATTTTCCCTTTCATATTTAATAAACAAATGCTGCGATTTAAATGTTGTAAGTATCGTTTCAATTCAGTAAAAAACAGATCATTCAGAATTCTAGATAAGCAAATAAACAAAGGTTGCTTACCTTTATGATCCGCTTTCTTCGATTCTGGTCCGCCGCTTTAGTAGACTCCGATTTGGTTCCAAACTCATCTAAAATTGGCACTATTTTGTATGAATCACTTTATTTGACGTTTGACACAAAGTTAACAATATCTAAATCATTACACTATCAAAAAACACTTCTAACTACTTAGCATCATTGTTCTACATATCTAACAGCGTCATTAGTCTACTGCGTCACTGTTCTAAAAGCATACACTTATCGTTGCCAGTTCTCAAAAAACAAACTTTCTTTTTCAATTCTCGTCGGTCTGGAGGCTCAATCCGTTCCTCAAGAGCGGAGCGTGCGTCGTTCGCGACACACTCCCCCCGATGAGTTTCACCAAGTTGAAACTCAGACGCAGTCTGGTTGAAAGTTCATGAGGTTTAATCGTTCAGGAGTTCGAATCACTCGTCCACATCTAGTTGTTTTGAGGGGATTCTGATTGAGTTCATCTGACTGATCTTTGTCAGTGGCACGAAACTCTGTAGATCCAATAGAAGTTGTAGGCTTATCACACATTTTTTGATCAGAATGCTTCTTTCTCAAACAGTCTCCTATATTATCCGTTTGTAAATGGACTTCCAACGGATAAATTCGTTGTATGGGTCGAAGGATTTCGCCACTTTTGGTGCGTAATTTTACTAAACGAACTACACCATCATTTCCTGGGATGAGTGTTATAATTTTTCCTAGAGGCCACTTAATTCTTTTCTCAGGTGTTTCTATTAACACAATGTCTCCAACCGATAGTTTAACATATTTCTCTGTTTTTAAAATATGGTTTTTCAGTTGTCCTAAGTATTCAGTTCTGAACCGTTTTCTTAGATCTTCTCTAACCTTCATCTGATATGCATACCTTTTTTGTAAGTATTTGGCATCAATAATATCTAGATCTGGAACGCCACTTTCTTTTAGATCACGAAAAAACATTGCAGGTGTCAAGGGTTCCAGTTCCAAGTCCTCGGAAATATAAGTTAATGGTCTGCAATTTAAGATATTTTCGCAATCACAGAGGATCGTATAGAGTTCTTCATATTTCAGTGAGGCATTACCTAAAACTTTTCTGAGAATGTTTTTTCATCAGGCCAATCATTCTTTCCCAAAATCCACCCCACCAGGGAGAAGCTGGTGGGATAAATTTCCACTTAATGCGGTTGACAACATGATTTTTAATAAGTTTATCCCAGTCAATCATTTTTAAGAGCGAATTTGTACCAATAAAAATTACTACCGTTATCAGTGTAGACAATTTCAGGTCTTCCTCTGCGTGCTATAAAACGTCGGAAAGCCAATAAAAAGTTATCTGTTGACAAAGACGTTAAAAGTTCAAGATGAATTGCCCTGTATACAGCACATGTAAATAAAACGATCCACGTTTTCGATCCATTTTTTAAAAACAAAGGGCCAGCTAAGTCGATACCTGTCACTTCAAAAATAGAAGAATCTTTAACACGGTCCTTTGGCAAAGGTGCGGATTGTACCGTGGAGGGCCTCGAATCAAATCTTCTACATTTAGTGCAGTTTTTCAACACTTTACGAATAGTTTTACGACTTTTCAAAATCCAGAAATTTTCTCGTAGCATTGCCATTAAAGTCTGAGTTCCGCAATGCATTTGTTGTTCATGTTTTTCCATAATCAGTTTAGAGACAACTGGATGTTCAGGAGGTAGGATTACAGGTGTTCTAAAATTTTCGAAGTCTTGTCTCATTAATATTCTTGACTTTACTCTTAAAAGACCAGATGAATCAACAAATGGTTTTAAATTTCGTAAGCGTTTATCCTTTTCTGTTTTAAAGGAGACCCTTTGCACAATTTTCCAAACAAGGAACTTCAGCTGCATTCAATTCTTCGATTTCTAAGTTCTTTGACGTTGTTCTGTTTTTTATCTCTGCAGTTATCAATATACCTTTTTATCCAGGCTGTAACTCTAATTATTTTCTCAAAAGAAGAAATTCGTGAGAAATGCGAAAATTCTTCATCTACATTTGTTAACGAGGATACAACTGTTTTTCTTCTTTCTCGATCAATCATATCTTTGTCAGGAGAAATATCACAAGTAGGCCAACAGTCTGGATTCAACTTCAACCATGCTGGACCTTCATGCCATCTTTTGGCTTTAATAGTTTCAACAGAACATCCTCTTGACGGAATATCCGCAGGATTCAAGTTGCCAGGAACATAATTCCATGCATCAGGATTAGTAAGAGCTCGTATTTCTTTCACTCTATTCATAACAAATACACCCCAATTTTCTTCATTCTTAATCCAGTACAATGTGTTCCTTGAATCTGTCCAATAAAACGTAGGTATATTTTCTTCTTCCTTCAAATCTTGTTTTATAGATTTCATTAATCTTGCACCAACAACACAAGCTAATAATTCTAGTCTACAAATTGATGTGGGTTTTAGAGGAGCAACTCTAGATCGTGCTTGAACTAAATGACACGAAACTTTATTTTCATTTTCATTTCTTAAATAAACGCAGGTTGCATATGCCATTCGGGATGCATCACAAAATATATGAAAGGATAATTTCAATTCAGAATCAATATTAAGCATCATCTGTCGAGGAATTTTTATTTCTGTTAAACGATTTGCATCATTTTTTCCATTTCATGTATTTCCTTTGAATTTCTTCAGGAAGAGCTTCATCCCAAGTTACTTTTAATTCCCAGCAGTTTTGTAACAGAATTTTAGGAATTAAAATTATAGGGCAGGTGAATCCAATAGGGTCATAAATTTTATGAATTTCAGACAAAATTGTTCTTTTAGTAACAGGTTTGTTTTTTGATTCATTTAATCCCTTAATATCACAA